TGAAAATACAGGTATCTTCCTCGTAGTGCAGAGGTTCTTTCTGAAGCCACGCTCAGATTGGCCTGATGATGACCTAACCCATAGAATTAAGCAAATAGTTTAGTGATCCCAGTGGCTTGCGGTTAAGGTAAGCAAAGCAAACTATGAACATATCTGCAAATTGATGGTTCCTGCTTCTAAAAAAAAGTCAGTTCACGCCCAGAAACCGTTTCCGGATTAATTAAAGAATAGCCTTTGATACAATTTTCCGGAATTTTTTGTGAGGTAAAGCGAAACGGATTCTGGTGTGAATTTTTAAAATTTCAAAACTCTTTTCGTTCATACAAAGGAACTGTGATGTAGTACTGCACTTTGAATGATGGTTCAAGTGGGAAGATAAAATCTTGCTGTCTAATTACAAACCACATTTCAGAACATTTTTTCGTTCTTCGATTTCTTACTGTACTTCTTCAAGATGCCCTGCTTAAAGTCTTTGGAAGTTTATATAAAAAAAAAAAAAATTGAAGCGCGAGGAAAAGTATAGTTACGTAAGAGTAATATGGACCAATTACCACATAATAACGGCAGAGGAACGCTGATCGACTGCTGAGTAGATACTAACTGGAGGACACAGACATTCCTTTTTTGTCCTTTTTTCCACCACAATAATAACATCACATGAAAAGAACCTTTAAAAGTGAAGAAAAATTTTCCAAATACCTAATGAAGGTTGAATCCTCACATTTATGGAGCGGCGGACCATACTCTGCCTCTTCCTAAGGGTGCAATCTTAGAGAAGGTATGGAGGTGCAGCATGTGCTAAAATTTCGTGAGAGGAGCAGCGTGAATGCCCTACAACCGTCCCTACAGAGGGGCTAAATTTTCTACCGAGAACTATTGCCCCATAAGTGGAGCCACTTCTCAAAGTTCACTAAGGGCCTTATTCACAGCCGTACCCTAAGTAGTATCCCTCCTCGAACCCTATATGGTCCAAGGTGTGATGAAGGAAGGTTTAAGAACGCTTTTAACGCAGCACCATACGGAGGACAATTTTAACGAAATTTAAGTAAAATTCAACAGATTAATCGAGTCTTGCAAAATATCACAATGATTTGTCACCGCGAAAAATACTTAGGGTAGAGAATAAATTTCATGTTTTGCAAATTTTAAGGAAGGTTTTTTAAACTTTATCAAAATCACAAAACCTTTTCTTTTGTACCATTTATTTTTTGCGGTTGGAAATCTTTACCATCCTTTGCGAGGACCTGTTTCCAAAGTTTAACAGTTAAATTTCACCCAAGTTTTTTTAAAAGTGTCCTTTCTATGATGCTGCGTTGAGGATGTCCTTAAGCCTCCATTCATCACAATTTAAACCATACGGGATCTCTCTAAGGGCATTATTTGTCAAGGGATCGACTTTGAAAACCGAACAGGATTCTAAACTAACGCTTCCGATGATAACACATTTGAACATGCTGTGTAGGTATAAGCTTTGTACCCGGCGTCGGTGCCCATGAGTATACTATCGTAGTGAAACGTTACATCGTATATCGTAGGTCGTGTGGCAGCCATGGATTATTGGACTCCACCCCCTACCGCTCTACCCCTTCCTTTCCTCCCGGCCGGTGCTGCCCGCTCTAGGCACGTCTACTAGAACTGCCTAGAATAAGGTATGAAGGAAAACCTACGCGGTTTTCATATAAATTTCAAAGTGGTGTCCGTCAGTTGTTTGACGATTTGCCGGGAGCGAGGGCACAACTATGCTCCTCGTTTTCTTTTGAGCACAGATTTAATATAATTTATTGGCAGAAACTCCGTGTATTTAATGGAATGTATTCATCTCTCGGTTTCATGCTGACATGATCTGTCGTTTACAGCAGCCGCGGTGTCGCCAGATTTACGTCTAAAGTTAAGAAATTAATTTTGAATGCTTATGAAAATAATTAAATCCATTTTTGGTAAACATGGGTAATAGTGATACGATACATTTGATTGTTAGGTCGTGTCGGTTTGGGACATTTTTCGTTCTTTTTAATATTTTTCCGAGAAATTGCTTGGTGGGTACTCCCATGGACACAATTGCTCAGTGTTGCATAGTTAGTGTTGCAGTGTTGCAGGTTTGCCCGAAGAGAGACCTAACCTAAATGAATACGAACAATCTTGCAAACTGTTTTAAACCCTCCTCTTGGGATATTTTTATTGATTCAAAGCTTTTGTTTTTTGCAAAATGAAGAAAGAAAAAGGAAACAAACACTTGAAAACATATGAAATTGTACTATAGAAAAAGATACTTAATCGTTTGTTTACTTTGGGTAGTTCTTTCTTGGTCCTCTATCTGTGCAAACCTGGTCGGTGGTGACTGGGAAAAACTACCCGCAAACGCAGGCAACTCGAAAAAGCATGTTACAAACTACGCAGATTACGCGCTTAAGGAGCGAATTTAAGACATTTTTTATGTTCCCGACAAATTTTAGAGCGAATTTATACCCTCAAAAACTGTTTATTCAGTCGGACGTTTCTCTTGCGTGGAACAAACCCAATACGCTGAGAAGATGTTTAAAATATCTCTGAAGACATTAAAATGTTTCAGAGACGTTTCTCTATGACAGGGCATGAACTAAAACTTGTCAAAAGCTACTTCCAATCACGTAAAAAAATGACTACGGTGACATTTACGCTTTTGAAAGGATTTAAAAGCATTTCATAATTATTTTAAAGCGTGAAAAGTCATTAAAATACATTTATGATTTTAAAGTCTCATTTTACTAATTTTCAAGACATTTATAAAATGTTTTATAAAATCAGTATTGAAATAATAATAAATGTAATCATTAAATTTTTTTATTATTTTAAAAATTTTCTTAAAAATCAGTGTTTTAAAGACATTTTTTTATACGTCGTAGTTTTTTATATTTGAAATCAAAATTAAAAGAAAACAATTTTTCACCATTTCACAGGGAGTTCTCAGTATTTAGAATGCTCAAATGTTACCTAAAATTGCTGTATTTTTTTCAATTATTACTCAAATATTTGTTTCTCAACGATCAAAATAAAACACACTCAAAAGAGACTTGTTTTACGCAGTGTCATTTGGGTTGGGGAGTAGGCATTCGGTCATCGGTGTCGGTCCGTAGCAAAAATCAAGTGGCGTCTCCGAGGCTGTTTCCGCCATTCCTGATAGATTCGTTCCAGCCGAGGACTTGGGTGTTTTATTGACGGCGAGATTAAGACACTGACGAATAAAATGAAAGACTGATATCAGCGTGATCGAAGCGAGAGCGCGGCTCCTCATTAATTCCAAGTGAAGACTTTACGACTGACGGACGCCCAGCAGCCTCACTTCCAGCAGGCTCATCCTCACTTCTGAGGTCGTCGAATCTTTCGCTTGAAAGAAAGGCGGAAAAAGAGGAATGAATGGATTCAACTTTACACATATTCGCTCGATATTCATCCGGAGGCGAGAAGTCGACCGGTTCGAGGTTGTCGGATCTGTCGCCTTCTCTTTGTCGCTACTTTTCTAGTCCTTCGTTAAAGTCTCCGAGCGCTACGCTAGGGAACATTCATTCAGGGGACTACATTCTGCGATCACGAACTAATATTTTAGGCTCATTTTAGAAACAACTTAAGGGGTATTAATCTTTCTGAACAGGCAAATTCTCCTTCTTCTTGATTCAACTCTTCTTCCCCTCCTTCGTTCTCTCCTTGCTTTTCTTTTTATCCTCCGTTTTGCTCTTTTTCTTCCTCCCTCCACGCTGCCCTCCTTCTTCATCTGTGTCCTCTTCTATTTATTCTTCATCTTCCTCTTCTTTCTCATGCTCATTTCCTTCTTCCTCTTTTCTCTATTTCTTCTTAATATTCTTCCCTCTCCCTTTTTGATATTTACGATGCAGATAAGGCACTTAAATGGATGAGCTATGAAGCATAATGTGATCCATTGGAATATTATTATTAAGGGCACTGGTATTACGTAACGCACCAGGGGAGGGGGGTCGAAGACACCGTTACATAATTTTGTTTTTCCGTGTTAGCGGATAGAGATCTCGTCACAAAAGCGTCACAAAAAGGGGCAGAAGGCGGGTCAAAAAAGCCGGAAAAGTGCGTTCTCTAATTTAAGGATGGTCCCTATTCTGTTCAGTGTTCTCAGAAATGCAAACTTTATGTAAGAATGATATTTTATATAAAACGGAACTTCATTTATCACAGTATGTCATTGAAATGTAAAGCAAAACGCTCTACATTTTATTGAACTCGTATAATCTGAACTTTTTCCTGTTTTTAGGGGAAAATAGTCTGTAGAGGAGATGTGTCTACTGAACGTTTCGTGATTCATTAAGGAGGGTCAAGAGTATGCACAACTTGAAAATTTAGAAGTTACGTTTGATCAAGTCGTGTAGCTCTTGGGAGTCGTGGGGCCCAAAAGGGCAGCCAACCTTTTATCGATTTATCGCAGCTCGAATTATCCAGTGGTGCTAATTTTCACAATTCTGACTACCCGACGTTACATAAATTATAAATGCACGTATAAAAATTTGATTTCGTATACATTTTCTCAATTTAAAAGTCTGAATCCTTAATGACGCTTGTTTACAATTCGTTGTCGGTCATATTGATTAATCTTTCAAATGCGTAGGTTAGCAGCGGTGTTTTTCTAGCGATTTTCGTTTTCCACGTTCTTGCCCTTTTGGGCCCTAAGAGCTACACAAATCGAGTTATTCATGCTCTCCCTATAAAGGTACTATAGCCATCATGAGCAGCAAAAGCACAAGTCCTAGCTCGAAAACTTAAAGACACGGGACGCATCTGAAGATTATAACCTTCCTATGATCGAAAAATCAGGGAGCCGGTTTAGTAGATCTCTTATAGATATAACTATGACCAATAATGTATCTCTGGATAATCAGAGAACTTAATGATATCCAAGGCCAATAGTAAAATATGGAACCTCGGCCTTATGGAGAGTAAGATTGGCTGAGGTCATTAGCGTTAGGGCCCGGGGAAAGCAAGGCGGTTGCTGAGGCGGCATGACGGGTTGATGAGCGGTGGGAGGTAGGCGGAGGGCAGTAGGTGGGGGTCACGTCAAGCTGTCCAAAAGCGACCAATTAAACGATTTGCTTTCGTTTCTGATTGCAGTGAACGTGGTGGAAGCGTTGCAGGAGTTTTGGCAGATGAAGCAGGCTCGAGGAGCGGATTTGAGGAACGGTGCTCTAGTCATCTACGAATCAGTGCCGTCGGCCAGTCCGCCCTATGTCTGCTACGTCACCCTCCCCGGCGGATCTTGCTTCGGAAGCTTTCAGGTAACGCACACGACCTAGCCAACTAAAATTTATTCTTCTCTATCTGTATTTATTTAATGTCTTGGACTTTCGTGTTTATTTCTCCTCTTCCCACTATCTTCTTGTATTTTTAGAAATAGTTCTTCCGGATTGAAGAAGTTTTTCCATGAATGCCGCCCCCCCCCCTATCCCCTAATTTTGGCCCAATATTTGAAGATTCTAATTATAGCTAAGTATCTTCGATTTATATACATAAAAGTCGCTCCTAAAACGCACTCTGGCGTTCTGCGACACCGAAACAGCACAAAAGCCTTCTTCCCAGAGGTTATCGGGCGACTGACGCTAAAACATATCTTTGTCAACGCTTCGTCATTCCGTGAAGAGATGGCGGCAGGGTATTGACGAAGTGTACCCGATGCTGTAGCAAATTCCAGCCCCCTTAGATTATTGGAGGGAGGTGCCAGGGGAAAAGTTCTTATTTTTGCAAAAATTAAAAATCGATATCTCCGGAATGATTTTGTTGTGGGGGGGGGGATAAAATGATCCGTAACACGTAACTCAAAATGGTAGAGCTGCTATAATCTATGGTGATCGGTACAATCGGAAAGTACAGAGCGCTATAACTAGATACACTAGACTCGCTGCCTCGAAGGTACGACGCCGCGCCGCGGGCCCCTCAGAGTATATATCTCGGTATCATCCGGAAGAACGATGACGTCCGAAGATGTCATTGCGATGACCAATGCTCCAAGGTAGATACTCTGAGGTCGCCGAAATGCACGCGCGAGCTTGCGCTCCGAAAGCGATGGCTTTCGGGCTGAAGGAGCTAGAAAGCATAATAGAATGCGGCCCTAGAAACGTAAGTGATATGGCCTCATTCTATTGCAATTTGTAAGTATCAAGTATTGTAGTTTGCGCTGTGAAATATTAAAACATATGTTCTATATAAGGAAAATGTAATTGCCATTGCCGGCTCAGGTCGCGCGCGTAGGACCCAACTCGGACACACTCCCTTGGGAGACCCCATTTCATTCCGGACCCAACTCGGAATCACCCAAGGATAGGAGCTACAGAAGGAACGAATATTATGAATACGACCCTTACTGCTCTCTTTGGTAAGGCATCAGAGGTGCATGATCTATTCTAATGCTCTCAATGAGAATAAATCGATATTTATCGATTGCTCGAGATCAACTGCGACGTAATGACTAATGGCGACCATAGCCGCTCTGCGGTCGGCCCGGCGCGGCGGTCGGCCTATCCGCCTCCACCGGCGACCGGCGACCGGCGGAGAGGGCGGCTAGGACAGTCACCAATTACGTTCAAGACTGCTAATTTTCAACCGCGATGCGATCCCGACCGAAGATACCGAGCTACCAAGCACCGTCTTTACCGACATTCACCACTTACTGTTTGAATTTGATGCGGCCTTCCTGCTCGTCTGCCAGCCACTGCTCCTTCGACAAAAGAAAATCGCTCCGACTTAATTGGCTCCATGCTTACGGACGCTCGTCTCGGGACCTTGTTGCCGGACTCCGGAGTAGAAACCCAAAGCTAGAAAGGCTCGGATACCTCTCGTCTTATACGCAAACGAGCAGTGAGCGCTTCAACCCTTTTAAGGTCTGAATACACGATCAAATTCCGAACCAATTATGATCAAAGTAGACCAGTTGATGACTGATGGTCACCATACGAAAGTCCTCTTTGATAAAAATTGGACGGGTCGTCAAATTTTGATCCTAGTAGAGTGCCACTATTCATCATTTCTGCCGCACGAAACATTTTTGCTAAGCGTTCATTTTAAAATTAAGCAAAGTAATGATTTTGAGACTAATGACTCCCGACACTTTGATGGTAATTGGTTCGGGAATTTGATCGTGTATCGAGACCTTTAGGAAAACGAGGGAGCAGGTCGTGCGTCGCATCGGTTTTCATGGGTCTTCTTATGCTTCGTCCTTTATGCGGTTATGCCCCCATGAATATTCAACATTTTGAGCTTTGACTTGTTTCATGTTTCTTGTTCTTCTATCTTTAAATGTTGAACATAATAGAGACCAGATTTTTTTCTCTTTTTTTTCTTTTTCTTTTTTTATAAAACGGGGATATTATGGTTGATTTTTGCGCAATTTTCATTTTTGAGTGCAAAAAGAACCGTGGTTTTTTTCCCTTTACCCACCAATTTCCTGTTTGATCAAGCTTTTCCTAGAACGCACCAGACAACGCATGATCCAAAGCAATCTGTTATACTTATCCTCTTCCACTGCGTACAGGATCAGTGGCGTGGCGTGAACAATCTACTATCGATATTTTCCCATTTGAAACTATGGTAAAGAATTGTTCGTTACGAACACCCTGTCTATCGATTCTTCCTCGTATGTTTAAATAGCAGATCAATCGATATATCGCAAAAACACGCCACGCCACCGCGTAGGATGTTTTCTAGCCACAAATTGAAGGCGGAATAGCAATACAGCTTCAGCTCCAAAGCCCCTTTGTGTTAGCCCGGCCTCGCGGAAAATATGGAGTGAGAGTATGGAGTAGGGTGGTCGAAATTATAGAGATTGGAAGTATGGGCGCGCAAAAATGTTTGCCCGGACGACATGACATGGCGCCGTGGGCAGTTGGGCGGGAGCTGGACGGCGGCGGCGGTTGCGGCGGCGGCGGCGTTCCCACAGTGCATTGCGTTACGCACGCGATGGGGGATGGGCGGACAGAGCGAGTCACGTCATGGAGGAACTCAGGAGGGGGGAGGGTGAATAAGAAAAGCCCCGGCTTCTGGAAGGTCGGCCGCGGAGTGCGGCTGGTCGGGTCCGAATTTCTCACGAGTTCGATGTACCGCAACGAGAGGCTAGTTGCATGTAAAACGCCGCGTTTGTGGATTTAGAATAATAGACGGATTAACGCGTACGCGTAATTAGTGGCTCGCCGCGCGGAATCGCGAATCCGCCAGCACAATGCTGCCGCCTAAGCGAGAACGCCGTATGAGCCTCCGACTCGGGCAAATCGGCGTTCCCCTCACGAAAGAACGTAATTACATCTCAATGTTGCCAAAGGAGGGGTATCGATAAGGGCCTTTTTTGGCCCCCTGAAGCACATCATCTAACTAAAACCAAACCAGGGTTAAAATATGTCCTAAAGCTTTCTTGATAACATATCGATCAAAACCTTTTTTTAGTTAGACGATGTGCTCGGTGCAGGGTGTCTACAAGTTCGGAATTTTCGGAAAGTCCGGAAGGATTACTGATTTTGAAAGCGCGGTCCAGAAGTACTGGAAATGTGCGGAAATTTCACAAGAGGGTCCGGAATTTTTCATTTTTGTCGAAATTGGAGAGAAAAATGCAAATTTTTGAAATTATTTGAAAACGAAGGAAAGTCAAGGAATTCCATGAGTAGCGTTATTGGCTCGGCAATTTAAGCTGGTGTCATTTGAGAGGTGGGGGCGGCATGAGAGATGGGAGTAGTGAGAGACCGAACGACTTTCAAGTGTTTTTTCTTTAATTTGAGTCTATTGTTGTAGAGATTTCAACCATAGTATAGCAGAAGTCGCGGTGTAAACAAAAGAAATAATGCGTCAGCAGAGATTTTGCTTGACGGTCAGGAAAAATCGAGGATCTCGGAAATTTTGGAAGCAGAGAATTTGAATTTGAAGAAATTATGGAAAGCTGCAGTCGTTACTATTTTTAGAATTTGTTTCTGCAACTTCATCATCACATTTTATGATTGACAACGTAAATCACTTTCCACCGCGCACCGCGGTTTCGTCTGAAACAATGTCAATTTTACCGCATTGACTGATTCCTCACAACTCTCGATTGTCGCAGAAAAGACGAGCACATCGTCGTGTTAACCGTATCGGTAAGTTTATTTAAATCAGATCCGTCAAATTTTCGATTTTGAAGGAAACTCAATTTTAAAAATCTTGGTGTATCTACTCATAGTCGGTTCCATACTCTACTCACAACGCTGGTGCATAAGTAATATTTTTAGAGCATGTTTATGCTAAAAACAACTGTGTGCCAAGGGTTTGCGTGTTACACATTTTCTTGCGACCATATTAATTTGCACATAGTTCTTTTTAGCATAAATACGCGGGTCTAACCTCTTGAATTTGCAGAAGTAATGAGATCACAGCGTCATGCCTTGTGATCGCACGCCTCGGTCTGTGGTCTCATTCTCGTGTGAAGTACTTCCGTAACTGGGTGATTCCTTGGTTGGTTAAACTTGAGATTCGCGCTTTGCTCCCACACGGCAATGCTCTCACGCTTGGGCGGTGCCGCCGGCGCCTGCGCCGCAAGCTCGATACGGAACAATGAGTTCGGATGAAATTCTTGTTAGGAGCTGGAATTTGCGAATCATCGGCGTTTGCAACAGGTACTTCTTCTGGAGTAGAACGTCTGAACTTTGTTGCCATTAATATCTTCATTCGAGACTTGAGACAATATATTTTCAACAATCTATGCAATGTAAACGGGTGAAGCAGAAGCCGAGTGCGGATGTCAGCAGGTGACTGAAGAGCAACTCCTAGAGCGAGGGATAAGGCAATGCGAAGCGCCTTCAAGTTATCGTGTATGCAACACGGACATCCTAAGAACATGAACAGTTGCACCCTTGCCAGGCGTTATCAGTGTTATCACTCACACCGCGCCCCTTCTGTTGTGCTGCGCCGCAGACTAGCGGTACATGTACATATGAATTTGTATCAATGGTAGCATTGAGATAGGTAATGTCATTGTTATTGTCAAGGACAATATATTTTATGTAGATCTCGCAATAACAATCTAAGCAATATATTCGGCTGACGCAAAAGTCAAGTACGGAGATCAACGCATACTCTTCGTCTAATGATGAATGTTGACGATATTTAACGTGAAGTACGGTGAGCACATTGAAAATTTCCAAAATGCAATGATGGAGTATAAGTCAGGGTTTTTGTTTCTTGGACACATCAATCAAAGCAGTCCCTCACATGAAAACCAAAGTACCTACTAGATTGCGATTCCAACCGAGCACTGAACTAATTT